AGGTGCCCTTCCTGCAGGGAGAGGCAGGGCTCCAGCAGCCCCCTGACCTGGGGGAACGGGGCAGGGAGTGTGCTCTGAATGTGCACCCTGTGTAGTGCTTGCTCCTGGTTGCATTTACATTTTTCTGTGTAATTACATAAAAGAAAAAAAAAAAAAAAAGAAAGAAACTGGTAGTCAGGATAAGGCCATCTCAGCCACAGAGCTGCTGTTCCCTGCCAGTCTAAACAGTAATTTAAGTCACAGCACGGCCAGACACAAAGTTTGAGCTGCCCATGTGCTGAAATAGTTGGTGGGAATATTAAAACAAATAAAAATCAGCTTGTGTCTTCTTCCCAGCCTGGTACTGCCAAGGACTGTGACTCCCTGGTACAACCATTGCAGGCAGCCCATCCCGCTTTTGTGAGGGAAACCAGTGTGTTTGCAGCTCTGTCATCACTCACAGGGGTGGAAACCACAGGAGATTGCATCCTCCTTGGTGAGCACCTCTGCTACAAGGGAAGAGCTTGCAGGAGCTGCCCTGGAGGAAGGGTGTGGACAAGGGCAGCTGTGAGTGCCAGCCTGCATGCACAGACCTGTCACACTGCATGGACTGTGTGAGCACGGTGGTTGCACAAGCAGGGATGCCTCACTACAGCAAAGAACAGCAATCCAGTGGATTCCTTACAGTAGCTTGCTGTGAGATAATTGAGGGAGGTTAATCCCAGATTTTTAAGGAATTTCGTCTAGACGCCCTGGTGCTTTGTGCAGTAAAAATCAAATATCCACCCACACAGTAATCGGGTCAAAGTTAAACTTGTCAAATAATGTTGGTGCATTTTGCATTTGCATTGCTGGGATTAATTTCCCACATTTCCCCCCTCTCTGAGTTTCTGAGTTCAGAAGATTTTTTAAACTTTATTGGTCACTTCTGATGTACCATGGCACACCAGCCATGCTATGTGAGCTTTCAAATGTACCATGGCACCAAAGCACACTATCTCCTTTCCTTTCCTTTCCTTTCCTTTCCTTTCCTTTCCTTTCCTTTCCTTTCCTTTCCTTTCCTTTCCTTTCCTTTCCTTTCCTTTCCTTTCCTTTCCTTCCCTTCCCTTCCCTTCCCTTCCCTTCCCTTCCCTTCCCTTCCCCTCTCCCCCCCTTCCCTTTTTTTTCAATCTGTAAACACAATGATGCTTGTGCTCCAATCTGTGCCAAGATGAATACTTTACTTCTTCAAATCTTGCCAGTTTTAGAGTCTGAAGGTTGGGGACAGCTAGGGGGAAAACAAGAACAAGAAGTCTCTGAAGCTGTAGGAATTTTGTTATTGTTATTTTCCTTTGTAAAATGAAAGGGATTTTCTGTAACCTGAAACCGTTGGATTTTCTTCTTACTTCACAAAGTTATTTTATTTTGTTATTGATATTGCATAGGAGACCATCAGTTTTTGTGTGAAAGGCCTAACTTCTCAGGATGCTGGGACCACTTTGGTAAGGCTGCTTTCTGCCCTTCTCTTACAGGAAAAGAAAAAAAAGTCATATAATTCCACTGAGAAACAGATGAGTATTACCAGCTGAATTCAGTTCATTCTCCACATACCCTGTATTCCATGTGCTGGTATGGGAACCATCAAATGCTGACAGGACAAGAGGAAATGGCTTCAAGTGGTGCCAAGGGAGGTTTAGATTCAATATCAGAAAAAAAAAAAACAACTTCGCTGAAAGCATTTTCCAGCCCTGGAAGAGGCTGCTCAAGGTATGAGTTTCCATCCCTGGAGGTATTTAAAAGACATGTAGACATGGTTTAGAAAAAAAAAACAACTTCACCAAAAGTGTTTTCCAGCCCTGGAAGAGGCTGCTCAGGGTATGAGTTTCCATCCCTGGAGGTATTTAAAAGACATGTAGACATGGTTTAGTGGTGGACTAAACCAAGCATTGCTGGGTTAACAGTTGGACTAATTGATCTTAAAGGTCCTTTCCAACCTAGTTCTATGATTTTATGAAAAAAAAAAATCCTTAAAAATGTTGTTCTGCTTTGCAATGGAATAATTTCTCTGACAAAGATGTTTTAGGGCATTTGCACAACCATATTTTGATGATGTACATCTCTGGAAACATATCTTGGGTACTTCCTGTTCAACCTGGACATTCTGGTATTAAAGGCATGCAGATGTGCTTTTAGTTCAGATTAACACAGGTTGGAATGGCTGTTCACCATGAAAACAGTGAGAGGTACCCCAGTCCTGTAGGAAGGAATGTGGTTATGAATCCTCATAAGTAGGAGAGTAGGTGCTGTGTTTTCCTTTTGTGTTTACCCAGTTCTGACCTTTCTGAGAGTTCTGTGAGTTGTCAGTTGAGAAAGAGAGGGAGGTTGGGGTTTTTTGTATGTTCTTGACAACCAATAAATGTTCAAAGTAATGATGTTCGACTGCACTGGAAGTGCATTTCTGCAGAGGTGGAAAAAGTTGGTGATGTCAGTGGGTCTATAGGAGAATGCTAGCAATATATTTGAAAATACTTCCCTTTGAGTGCAAAGGATTTCTACCACAAGTGCTGATTACTGAAATTAATTTCCCCTACACAGCACATATGCTGCAAAAATTTCACATGTCTTTTCTGCTTTTTCCCTAATGGTTTTCTGTGAAAGCAATGGAACAATGTAGTTGTGTGATGCTTTCACATCTTCCTCTTTTCTGCAGTAAATGTTTTTAGCAGAATTTAGCCATCCTTTCTTATTAAATCTTAGCTTCTCTTCTGCAATATTTCTACATATTTAAAGTTGTTTCTGGAGCACATAGAAGTGAAATGCTGAAGGCCTCATCAGGTGCACAAGAAACCTTATTTCTATGGGGATTTTGCTGTGAATTGGTGGGCTTATTCTCTGCAGTGCTCAAAAAAGCACTGTCTTCTCTACTGTGACTTCAGTATGTATGATTCCTTCAACTTTGTTAACATCCTAAAGATGCATAACAACTCTTCCCTTGAACTGATGGATTTCATGAATCAAGGATATGATATGTGCTCAGGGATGCTTTAAGTGATGGGAAAGTTACAACTTCTGCCTCTGATCAAAGCAGAGCAAAGCACTTGGCTGCTCCTCTCTCTCTGTTACTTCAGTCTCTTTGCAATCAGCGAGATCTCCAGAGGAGAAGGTACCACGAATTGTAATACCTAGGAAAAGAGAAGGAGCCCTGAGTGAGAATAACATCCTTGAGTTCAGTTTGTCTAAAAATTAGGCAGCCTTAGCTGGTCCATGTTCTTCTGTGTGTAATAAGGGGTTGTGGTACTTCCCTACTACAGTCTGGCAGCTGGTGAGCTCAGTTACTTTCCGTGGGACTGCTCATCCAAAAACAAGGTTAAGTCCCGAGGAAGAAATGCAGATGCAAATGTAACAGGCTGGAGTTTCCTTCTAGTTGTAATATGCTAATGGCTGAAATCTGTATTTTAAAAAAGGCTTGAATTTAAAAGGAAAGTGAGGTGATGAACTGTAGAGCTGTAGCCGGGTTGCCAGTAACTCTGTAATGATAAGGATTCATGGCTAGACTAGCAGGAGAAAGTTTATTCCATCTGACTCACAGAGAGGCAGTCCCTGGGAGCTGGAGCTGTGACCTGGGGAAGCTGTGTATGGCTGCCTCTATTAATGACACTTTCTCCTTCTCTGAGCACCATGGAAACACTTCTACGTAAACACATGGTGCTACTGTCGTCTGCATTTGCAAACCATGCTGGTGGAAAATGCATGGATGGAGTACAAATGTACAGGAATTAGATCACAGCCCAAAACACAGGCACTCAAAACCCTGCAATGGAGAAAGTGCCAGTCTGACTCAATAACAGACTCCTTTCAGCCATTTCATAGACAATGATTTTCTCTCTACAGAAACGTTGTAACCTGTATTTGATTTCTCTACAGAGTACCATCGTTTTAATTATGTCAAAAGAAAAGTCTGATTTGTAATCCAACCCAGTCCATCTAATCTATCTAATTCAAGGAACCTGTACTGAAGAAAAACTGGAGCAATGTAGCAGCAGATCGTTTCTGATTAAAAGGATGCATTTCATTTAAATCAAAATAATTCAAACCAGCAAACCAGAAGTCTGCATTTAAATAAATTATTTTACTCTTGATTTGTATTTGCACTTTATTTTTCTCCTTGAAGAATACCCAGTTTTCATTGGTGTGCAACCCTCTTGCTGTGATTATTACAGCTAAATAAGACCCCTTACACTGTAACTGCTTACACTATACCAGGGCTTATTTATTTTGCAGGAGGGTGTGCAGTATCTGTACAAATCTACATCACTTAGCATGCATTTAGTCCCTCAGGCTCTTATTTAATAAATGGTTTGTTTTTCTGCCCAGGAACTGCTCTGGACTGGCCTGGGTTGGTGATGGTTCTGCCCTTCCAGGCTTTAAAGCAAGGACTGTCTACAGGGATTGTCCATGCCTCTCCCCCTGGGGCCTTGGGTGAGCAGTGGGTGCCTTCTGGAGAAGGCAGGACACAATGCTGGGGAGACAAGTGCTCCCTCCCCTTCCACAGGGCTGGTGATTCTCTCTGGTGACACCACGACCATCCACATTTGGCCCTGCTGTCACATCCCTCTCCCCGTCCAGGTGCTCGGCCATGACATCCATCATGTGCAGCCTAAGCAATCCTTGTTAAATTTTCTTTGGAAAAATCCATTTCTTGATGGATTACATCCTGCTGGGCCCGAAACGGTGGTGCAGACATTGTGTTTAATTTCAAACATAATTGTATACAACTACTCCCAAAGCAGCACCATGGTTTCACTTAGCTGCATTTTAACCTCCAAGCCCCCAGCACTGCCTGACACGTTCACAGGTGGGTTCCTTCTGCCTGAGCCCCTCTTGGCCGGAGGAGCGCCCAGAGCATCCCCAGGGATGAAGGCAGCCCCGTGCCCGTGGGTGGCGGGCGCCGCATCCTGGCACACGCCCCGCGAGGAAGCCGTGGGCGGTGTGAGGTGACTTATGAAGCCGAGCAGCCTCCCAGCGCCACAACTTCCCCCTGCACCCTGTCAGGGAGCGTTTCAGCGGCCTGTGACAGCAGCCGGGCCCCCATGGCCGGGCACTGAGCCCTCTGCATCCTCCCTGCCTTCAGGGCTGGCCTCGGCGCCGCTCCACCAGGGAAACGCCAGGTACCAGGGGAGGCAAGCGGGGCAGGCTGGGCTTGTGTCGGGGTTTTTGGTGGTGGCAGCGGGCAGGAAGGAGAGAGACACGGTGGAGCATGCTGTGACTCCTCAGGCTCCGTTCCCCTAACCTTATTCCCCTCTCCTCCCAGCCCAGGAGCTGCAGGAAGATGACGGGCCTGCCTGCCTCCCCAGCGGCATTGAGGACGTGGCTGGGGCTCGGGCTCTTCGTGCTGCTCTGCCTTGGGATAGGTAAGCAGGAGCCAGGATGGGAGTGTGGGAAGGGGCTGGGAGCCAGCAGCAGCACCCATGTGATGGTCAACAGGGGATGGTGGCCCTCAGGACACTCCTGGTGCCTTCTGCCAGGGCTGAGCCCAGGGTTTGGGGCAGCTGGCACTTCACTGAGGAGCCCTCGGCTCTCAGCTTCCCAGGCCCATTGCACCAGGCTGCTGGCTCCCAGACAGGCATGGTGGTCTTCCTTCCCAGCCAGGGTGAGACACATGAGGGTGATTTTGGTCAGCTGATGTCTGTGGGGAGCACATGGCACAGCCCCTCGGGCTTTGGTTTCAGTGGCGGTGTGGCTTCCGCAGCTTTTTGGGTGGTTCAGAGAGGGTGCATGGTGGAAAAGATAAGGAAAGGTGGCAGCCTGGAGTGCTCTGCACCTCCTGGGCAGCTCAGCACAGAGCAGAGTGAGTTCTTTCTCCAACAACACAATTGAAGTCCTGCCTGGACTGTCCCCTGTCCTTTTCTGAGCGCTTGCCATAAAGCTCACACAGATCGCTCCTTGCCTCAAAAGGCTTGGGATGAATCTTCTCAGATATGTGCAATGTTAACCTGGAAACCACACAAAATTCACTTCTGAGCTGGAGTTCATTGTGGATGCAAAATAAGTTGTGCTTATTGGCATTTTAGTGCTTCATCCCAGCTAAGGATACTCTAGAGCAAACCTGGGCTGAACTGGGGCTTTCGTTAAAAATCAAGCGATGCAAAATTAGGAGCTTTTCATGCTCCTATTGTGAAACTGGGAGATATTTGATGCCAGGCTTCATTTTCAGTTTCAATCTCAGAATTTTTAAGATAAAACTTGGAGAATTTAGCAGGGAGTGAATTGCAGAGCTCACTTGTAAAGAAAGCAATGACCTCAAATGTCTCTCTGGGATCTCTGCACTTCTGTCTTCCCCTCACTCCTTCCCCTGCCTCTGTGCTTGCAAAGCATCTGTCAAGCACAAATATATTTTGCTTGTATTTGCATCAGGCAGACAATCTATCACGAGCAGAACTGTTTCTGTCTCAGTACTTTAAGAGCTTGTGGTGTGTTAATAATGTAATTACGATAACATGGTAATTTTCCAGTTATGTAATTTCTCTGAAAACAATTCTGGTTCCTTGACTAAAGGATGTATAGTTGGATGTATATTCTGATGCATGCTAATATCCACTACTAGAAATAGGAGTTTGATAAGAAAACTAAGTGTTCCTCTAGTTGTACTTTTGGGGCACAATTTTTAGATGCTTCTCAAGCAACAAGTCAGTGGAAGTGCTGGTGCCTCAGGAGCAGGTGCTTGGCAGACTGATAACAGCAGGACAGCTGATTTTCCTCTCTGTAAGCCCTCACACACTCTCTGAACCCTTTCTCTCCGAAGATCAGCATTCCTACATCTGTGCTCCTGGAAAACACATGGTGCAGTACCCACTAAGGACTGGGTTTTTAGAGCTTTGCTGGTGCTTGTGGGTGATGCCTTCTCAAGGCTGCCTACAGGGACCACAAGGACAGAGTTCTGGCCTTGTCCTGACAAAATAGTGGAGCCCTGGGTGTCTGTCATCAGCCTGGCAGTGACTTTCCACACAATACTTAGAGAGCCACCATATTTACAGCACATTTTACAGGACATTACACATTTTACAGGACTGACCCCACATGGGACTGCTCAGAAGCACATCAAGGCACGTCAGGGCTGGCTCCCAGAGCCTGTGTCCTTGGTTTGGCCCAGGTGTCCTGATGCTGGCACACCCCCCTGATGTAGCACTGCAAAAGGTCAGGTAGCATCCTGGGATGGAAACAGGTGCCCTCTGTAAAGCCTGTGTGAAATAGTAACAGAGGGGATGCCAGACTGAATTTTCACATGGCAGCAGTGGAAGGCATTAATGGGGGGTTTAATTAAAAGGGATTTGAAGGTGGAAGGTTGATTTGAAGTTGTCTTTCATAGGAATGTCATGTATGTGCAAGCTATGTAGATCCATTTCTTTTCCTTTGAATTGAGTTTTGCTACTCTGACGTTCACCTGAGGTGCCCCACTGAAATGCCAGTGTAATTTAGAGCTGCTTGTGGGAGGTCATCTGCTGCTGGAGACACTGATGTCCATGAACAACACCCCTTGTCTCAGCACAAAGTGGCAGAACAGCTTTGGTTAACAGCACAAACTTTTTTATTTATGATCTGAATGCACAGCTGGTATCCCCACGGGCTTGGTTTTGTCCTGCCATTGCACCTTCACACCTACCTACAAACTGTAGGATGTTCTCAGTCCCAGTTTGTTATCCTGGAAAAATATAGCTTGAAGTCCCTCAGTATGACCTTTCCCTGCCCTGTGTGCAAACAAAGCACAGGCACTGACTTCAGGGACCCAGCGAGCCCAGCTTTATGTCCACGGAATATTTTTAAACTTCCCTGGAGTCTTTTCTTCCAGCTGGGGACCACTTAGCTCTTGGTTTCTTCCCAGGGGTGAAATTTTTTGGGAAGTTTTGAAGAAAATTCCCTACAGCTTTTCTAAGTTACTGGAGAGTTGGGAAGGGAGGGGGAATATCCACTTCAGTCAGCGAGCAGTGGCTCACGAGCAACTCATTCCGGGAATCCCCTTCCCTTGTGTTACTCCCAGTAAAGAGCTCAGAGTGGAGCTGGGTTTCAGAAAGGGACAATGAGAAAGATTCCCTGTTTTGTGGCCACCCCTAAATATTGAAGTGCTTAGCAATGAGCTTTAGGTACTTGGTGTCTGATTTCCGTGCCAGCTCTGGTATGGGTTGTGCTGGGGCAAATTTCATGGTGGAGATGGCAGAAATTTTTCTTTACATACCGGATTTGCCCACTTGAACACTGGATGCAAATTGAGTTTCTGACTTATTCCTCTTCATGCCTTCAGCTGTTGTTTTAATTTCTTTTTTCGGATGAGTTTCTGTCTCCTGTTCCAGACATGTGGGAAAAAAGTCTTTTGAAACCAAGGGCAGCAGATCTAAGGAACTCCTTTTTCTGTTTGTCAGTCTGTCCAGAGTGAAACCTGCTGCAAGAGCCTGTCTGGAGAAACAGAAACCCAGCTAAACCCTACTGCTTTTTGCTTATAGAGACTGTTTTACTTCTTCTGTTGAGTGCTTCTTAAATTAAAGAATTCTTTAGGAAGAAAAATACAGAAAATTTAACTTAGGCAAACTACATTGGTACACACAAAATAGAGTTAAAAGCATAAATGCCAAGTTTGTAAGGCTGTGGGTCAAATGTTCCTTTCACCCACATCATTTCCTTTTTCCAGTGAGATCGGAATGAACTCAGATAGCTGCAGTGACCTCATGTTGCTCTGATTGCAACAGCTTTTTTGCATTTCTTGGATCACTGAGACATTTGTATCCTTGTTGCCGTGTGCATGTTGGACATTCCTGCACTTAAACATGCAAAGTTGGGAGTGGAACTTTTATTAATTTTGGTGGATTACCAGCAGGACATGCCACCCTTAGGCCCTCTCACCTTTCCTGCTCATCAGTGCCTTGATTCTGAGTTCCAAGTGTGGTTTAATGGGGGTAATTAATCTGATGTAAATGACTGATGCCATCCCTCTGCCTCTCTTGTGGTGAGTTCATTTCTTTCAGAGCCAGTTTGCTTTTACACCTATGCTGTGCACCCTGGAGGGGGATGGATGCAGACAGGAGTCACAGCTGAGGGGTACAAACAGGTCATTGCCACAAGAGATGCAATCCTGCTCCTCTCTGGCTGTGTGATCCTCCTCTTCTTTGCTTTGTCTGATCCCTGGATTATCTTCTTCACCTTGCAGCTTAGCAGAAAGTTTCCTTTTTTCTTTTTTTTTTTTTTTTTAAGAGTGGTATATTGAACCAGACTCTGGAGAGCCTGCAAGGGGGAACATGTGGGATTGGAAGGGAAGGGGGAGCCAGATCCCCTCTGCTTGCACGGGGAAGGCATGAGATCATGATGAGTCTGTTGTCTGGCTGCATCCCAAGGTCATGCCAGGCTGGGGGAGAATTTCCATATTCAGAGAAATTCTCACACAATTATTATAGAGTTTGTGTTGGAAAGGATTTTAAAGCTTAATTTGTTTTAACCTCCCTGCCACGGACACTTCCACTAGACCAGGTGGCTCAGAGTCCTACCCAAAGTGGCCTTGAACACCTTCAGGGCTGGGGCATCCACAACTTCCCTGGGCAACCTGAGCAGCACCTCACCCCCCTCACAACAAATCCTTTCCTAATATCTGATCTAAACCTTCCCTCCTTCAGCTTGAGGCCATTCTCCCTTGTCCTATTGCTACATGTCCTTGTGAAAAGTCGCTCTCCAGCCTTCTTTAAGGCTCCTTTTAAGCACTGGAATGCTGCTCTGGTCTCCCTGGAACCTTCTCTTCTCCAGGCTGAAGGTTTCTTCTTCCTTTTAAGCATGTGTTTCCCAGTATAAATGCTGTGCACATGTGGATGTGGAGTCTTCCACAGGGTGGCAAGGTAAGTGTGCTGGATGCAGTGAAGACTGTTCACTTGGCAGAAGGAGGTCAGTTTTATTTTAAAATAGATTAACTTTATGTTAAATTGTAGCTGTTCTGTCCCCTTTGGAGGGGCATCACCATTGGGAGCCTCAGGAGTTCATTTGAGAATATGTAAATCTTTCCCAACTCGGAAATGCCACAGGCTTTGCTTCTGCTTTTTCACTGTTATGCTTTTAAAATATCATTGGCCCCAGGGGACTGCCTGACTGAAAAGAAAGTGCTGACTGATGGCTCATGGTGGCATTTCTACCTGCCCTGAGCTGAAAGGACATCCACCTTTTGGCGAGCTCCAGTTCCTCTCTATCACATAAAAAGCTGTTAGAAAAGACGATTGAAGGAAATCTCTCTGCACACCGCTGCTCTCACCTTAGCAGGCACCCTCTGGTGTGGTTCTAAGTGCCCTGCAGACAGGGATTGGATCCCTGTGGAAGTGTTTCAGAGAGAGCAGAGCTCGCTGTCTGACACCAGCTCCTGAAAGGAGAGAGCCTTGCCCTGCCC